CACTGGAGGGCTCTGCAGGAGTGAAATCAACTGTCGTTAGCAAGCGTATTGAGAAAGTGCACAGATTTTTTTAATGCGCCTGGTTATGTAAATAACTAGGATTAATGAGCTAACCTTTCAAATATTCTTTTGAGGGCCAAGATGTCAATTGTAAAGTTGCAGGGCGCATTGAGAAACACCCAATTCAAGTGTTTCCAACACTTGAATTGGGTGTTTGAAGGCTGGGAAAAAGGAGCATGCTAAGTGCACCTTGTTGAAAATGGTTTAATTGGGTGTTTCTTAATGAGCTCTACAACTTTCCATTTCACACCTCGGCTTTTAAACGAAGATTTCAAAAGTTAGCTTGTTACTCTTAATTAAATAAATAGGCGCATTAAAGCAATTTCGTGCACTTTCGCAAGAGACTTTTTCACAGCGTACAGTTGGTTTCACTCCCGCAGAACGCTCCGTTTTTTTTAAAGTTTGGTGCAAGTTATCTGGGACACTCCGCATATATGTACTGGTAGTGTACATTTAGTACACTAAAAGCATACATGTAGTGTACTGAACGTGCACTTATAGTATACTAAAAGTACGCTCGAGGTGCACTTATGGTATACTACATATATACTTGGGGTGTACTAAAGGCATACTATTTTGTTTCATAAAAGTGTGAAACTAGTACGATTTCAGTACATAGCCCAAGTTCACTATTAGTATACTTTCAGTATACTGATTTTGAATGACTTTTCGCTAAGGGCGGCGTAGTCACGGTTAGCTTGAGACCGCACTCGATTTGGTCTGTCTTCCCTGGAAGATCTGAAAAGATTAATGCGCAGTCTGAAATCAAAATCCAACTTTTAGTCTGTTTTCTGTGTCCAAGGTTATGGTGCTAGTTCGCCACCATGAGGAGAGAAAAAAAAAAAAGAAAAACTGGGTGACGCGTTTGTTTGAATAAGCGTGCTAATAAAACGAGGCTCTTGATGTCGTCAAAATAAAAATAAAAATTGAACAGTCCTTTGTTAATTCACAATACGGCCACAGCAACAGCTGCATCCCGTCGCGGCGAAGTGGAAGTTGCGAAGTGGCGTGAATGAACCAAAGCGTTCATGATAAAGTAGACATACGTTTTGTTCCGAACACTTTTATTTGTTTGTTCTTGTTCCGGAGCGCGCGAAAGCCTGGAGCGCTTGAAAGACTCGGCATTGACAGTGCTACGACGAAACTTTGTTATAGGCTCTTTTTTTTTTTTCTAGAGCGCGCGTAGTGCGCACTGGGTACTGCCACAGTCTCCTCTTTACTTACAAAGCCTGGAGGTTTCACTACGGAGCCATGGAGTGCCCGGTCGCAGATTTTGACCGCGAGGATTTGGAAGCACAGAGCATTTCTCGGGGAACCTGGGCCTCAGCGCAGATTGTGCAGCGGTTAGGATCCAAAACGTGGTTTTCAAGTCCGACGACAAAGGAAGGCAGCGCGAGGAAAGCGAGGAACACGAGCGGACAATCCATCGCTTGGGAAAAGTGTGTTTCGGTGTCTCGCCGCAGCAAGGGCCGTCACGTGGCTCTCCTCTCATTCGTTGTCGGCCGTTCTAACTTTTCCATTTCGGCGGCCGCTTCTCGTGGCGATCTGCCAGGCTTCGTCAGTATAGAGGATGCTATGGTACTGCAAAACGAATAAGTCTGAAGTGGGTTATTAATGCTTTGACGTAGCTCAACAGTAAAAACAAAAGCTGTGGCTTAGCTCACTGGTAAGGCTACCGCTCGCAATCAGCGGATCCAGGTTCGATTCCCGCGGGCGACGGGCGACCTTTTCCAAGAATTTGCCAACATCAACGCCGGACGCTTTACATCGCCAACTACAACATCAACAACTAAAATATGAAGTATTGCATCACCAATAACGAACGTTTTTCCAGTGCTGGGTAGAGCCCTCAACATATATCGCTGTAAAACTTGACGACGCAAGTAGTTTGACAAGCCGGTGTCAAAGCCCCACACAACTTGAAGCGGACGAAATGAAAAAGGTCATCTAGCCTCATTGTCTTCCTTTTTGGTTTCTTGAAAATAAGTACTTGATTCACTACATATTTAACAATGCGTCTTTTTTTTAGATTGTTTCTCTGGGATTAATAACAAAAGAATTTATCGCGATTAAATCACATTTTTTCACCACACTTGCACAGTGCCATTCTCACTCAAGTTGGCTAAGTTGTTCTTAGACGAGTGAAAATGTTTAATCCTGCCAGTGTAAAAAATAGAATTAAGCTAGACACAACTACGGTAGTTGTTAAGGTATGGTTCAATCAAAACATATACATGCCATGGGCGGTAGGTTGTATTTTACATAAGAATCCTGACACCATTGAGCATGTCTTTATTCTTTTTAGAGCGCAGCTCTTAGGCGCCCGTTTCTGGCTTGAGCGGCGTCGCCGTCGCCGTCGCCGTTGGTGTCGCCGACGAATGAGGTGAAGAATGAGGGGAAGAGGAGAAGGAGAAGGAGGAATCTACCCTCCCCTCAGTACCCTTCCCTCCTCCTCCTCAAGAGCTGCGCTCCAATTCGGCGTTACAGGGACTTGTAAACGGCTTTCACTTTTTTAGACATTCTTTTTTGGGAGCTTGTACTCGAATTACTTTAAAAAAGAAACTCGTTGTTACCCAGCCTAGAATACGGGGAAAGGACGTCCTGGATGAGTCTAAGAGTAGAGACGCCTTCCATGACCGCAGACAGGGGCCGCGCCGGGCCGAAAAGAAGGTCCAGGGCCGGGGGGTGCCCGTCAAGGCTGTCCAACGGTTGGAGGAGAGGAACACAGGCCTCTGGCAGATTGAAAGCCACTGGCAATGGGCTGTAGTCAGGAAAGCTACTTCTTGACCTCCTTGGGCGAGGCGGGCTGAAGAGCCTGATGGTTCGGCTTCAAAATCAAAAGTTATCTAGGTTCATTTTGGATCTCAGCCACCTCAACCCATGATCTTCCGAGTCCGCGTTTTCGTTTGCCTTCGTAACCGGTCACCCTGCAGGTCCGCCCTTTGCCTAAAGCAACTTTTTTTCACAAAGGTGGACCTGCAGGACGCCTTATACCACTTAAGTTTTGCAAGGGCTGCCCGTCACTTGACCTCCTTCCGGCTGGACGGTATATACTACCGCTACACCGTCCTGCCGTTCAGGGACTTTCTTCATGTAGTCCCTTGCTTCAGAGCTCTTTCGGGAGGCTCGGGAAAGGGGGCTTTGGTGCATGTCACACTTGAAAAACTTTTTATTTTCTTACCCGGACCCCGCTTTTCTTGTGCAACAAACCCGACAATTCTGCGACGACCTGTTTCCTTGAGGTCTTCGACCCAACCCGTCCGACTCCGCACTCCAGCCTGCGCGGACGATCCCCTTTCTTGAAAAAAAAGAGTTAGGGCGCAGGCGAGCTGGTGTAAGTTTACCATTTTTTACCACCTGAGACTGGGTGGAAGAAAGACGACGACGTCTCAAACACAGCTAACCACTTTATTCAGTTCTCCCTCCCTTTCTTGACTTTCATTTGGACTCCACGGCTAACACTAGCGCCCATACCCCGGGGCATCGTCGCAACCTCGTCGCCACCTTGACTGTTCTGGAATCCCCTCAAACTATCAAGACGTACCAACGCATTGCGGGGCTTTTGACTTTTTATTTTTCTCCCTACACCGGACACTACCACATGCTACGACCGCTGCGCACGGTGGCCCTTACAGGGCAACTCCCGAGTCTCGCCTCTCTCCGGATCGCTGCACATGCCTATGACAATTGGTCCCGTGGAATATCACGACCGCGCGTCATGGCATGGACAGCTGCTTTGTTGTCGGTGTAGACTAGAATGCGAGGTGGCTCGAGGGGGGTGGCCAGGAGAACCGCCCAGAACTCTCTGTGGCAGATAGTCGGTGGCTGGGGTGACACAACGGCAACGTTGCCAAGTGATAGACAGATACCGAGTCCAGTAGTATGGTGCCTGGAACGCGTCTCCGACTGGTGTGTTTACCGCCTTCAAAAAAGTGGTCCCTCGATTTCCACCTGCTGACGTCATAAAAGTGTCATGCTGTCGCCGATCGCGATCCTGGCGGCGTCTTAACAGTTGTGGTGTATATCGCATACGCCTGTTCTGCTGTAGGTCGCTCTCCACTGTTTCAGTCAACGGAAGTTAAAGCAGCCGGAAGTTGCGACGCCTGGGACGCCGTGACGACAGCGACACTCGCGTTCGCTCGTGCTTTTCGCCAGCATTTCTACGGCCAACCGCCAGGATCGCGACAGGCAACAGCCTGACACTCCGGCTTCTGCGACTTCATTTTTTGCCACTTTAGGATCACTTTTGATGTGTGGGCGGCATAGGACGCTAAACACACCAGTTGAAGACGCACTCCAGGCACCATACCAGTAGTACTGGTGTCCGCGTAGAATGTCGTGATTGTAGTTGTTTTATTGAAAGGGACCGATCTCGGGAGATTGTCATAGACTTATGTAAAAAGTCGGACCCCTGGGTACGAGAGGGGTCCGGCGACAGTGGGTCACTCCTATATAAAGCTTCAAGCGGGTCAAAGGGTAGTTGGAGTATTGAGAACTGATCGCTCACGCAAAGGTTTAAAACTTTTCGATTTGAAACCTGAAGGAGGCTGGGGACACGGCACCTCACGTGGTTTAGTCGTGGGTATAAATGCGCCTAATTAAGCATTTCGTTTCAGTATCACGTGCGTGCACTGTTGTTTTTCCTGTAGCAGTTGAGTGTTTTTACGGTTTCGAGTGTACGCTCTTCCTCAGAACACTCCAGAATTGTTGACCAAATCACAGGCACGGGTGTGCAAAGGCAGCTTATTACACCTATACAGTATGTGATTTCAGATTTATCAGAAAATAAACTCGGTTTCTCATGGCATTTAGGTAGCTTGCTGCATGACTGCTCAGTTGAAGCAGCATCTTAATTTTGGATCGACGACCATTCATCATCATTTGCCAAAACTAATCAGCCACAATTATGTTAAAACAAAATATCTATATTTTTATTCCAGGTAAATCTGTATTTCTGGGAACTCAGATGCTCCAACGTGAAGCTCGTTTTAAAAGAAGTTGTGAATTCTACTGTAAGTATAAACAAACTCAGTCCTCGTTGCATTACCATTTATAGTACTACTAACCTTAGTACCGTCTTGATATTTCAATCCCAATGGTTAAAACGGCTTTCTGGTCACAAATTTTGCGGAGTGCAGTTTAATAAAAACCTTCGTTTGACGTTGTATGCAAGTCGATTGAAACGTAGTATCGCATATTCTATAGGCATGCTGAATAAAGTTTGAACATTACTTCTTATGTAGCTAAAACATCAGATTTATTTCGCTACTGTCTATTTGCGACTACGATATTGTTTACATGTCTGGCGGCTACATCTAAATCTAATATTAGAAGTATATATGTACCGGATGCATAAAAACGGGTTGTGCTTGATTTAAAACTTATCGAGTTTCGATCATTTTTCGTCCTATTTTGAATCGAATGGTATCCTGAACATTGAGGCCTTGTAAAACCAGTGATTGTCTTAAGTAATATTATCAAAATTAAAAACCGGCCACGAATAATTTTTTCTACAGATACAAGTTCTGATACGCACAACAATTTTATACATAGACGTCTTGTAAAACTATACTTAAAACTAACTATGGTACACAACTAATGAATTGGAAAATTCCAAACCGCCTGAGCATTTGCCCCCGACTGAATTCATATATTCGAACACCCTTCCACTTCGCAGACCTTCAATAAACAATCGAAGATGTATTTTCTAAATCTTGTTTAATGAATTTAATCTGGTTTAATAGCTTTAATTTCTTTTCAAATTTTGTTGTTGCGTTGTATGTTTTGTAGATACTAGCATATTCACAATTTTTATGTTGCATTTGTGTTGCTCTCTTGTAGCTTTGCTTGTGTTGCATGTGTATTCCGGTGCCGGGGCACAGTCACGGGACATTTGCGGTAGCCTTTTGCGTGAGCTCCAATGAAAGTTTGTATTGTAGAAAGTTTGAAGTAAAAAAAACGTAGCATGCAAAGTGCTTCAATTAAAATAAAAACATGAGTGCGAACCTTCAAAAGACCAAGTTCGTAAGAGCTCATATTTTATTTTGTCAGTCGGTTTTCCAATTTATCTTTAGATACCGCTGTTGTAAAATTACTATTACAATCACTAATAAGTATAGAAGACATTATGATTTGATTTGATTTGTTATGGCATACCTACAGCGCTGTGCCAAAAGGATGGCGGTGTTTTCGTATTGCATGTGTGATTTATCAAGCGTTCTCTCAAATTAACGCGCAACAGCCCTACTGAAAAAAAACTAGCATAAGCTGGTCCCAGCCTTAAGCTGGGTTATTGCCCCAGCATGCGCAGTTCGGTATGCTGGTCATGGTGGTTAAAATGGTCATGCTGGTGGACTTTCCAAACAGTTTAACCTGTTTATATTAATGCACAGGATAAAAAAGTCAAGCTCTTCAGAAAAGTCAACTCGGCATCTAATTTATTATTTTTGTACTTGCGGCCTGCTCACATGAACTGAGATGCTAGATATCCTCGGTGCTGACACAGGGCTAACAGACGCTCAGACAATGGTTCTTATGGTGTGAAACAAACATTGTTATTAAAACCAGATTGCTTATCTCTCAACACAAAAATACTAGACACACGCCAAAAACAGGCAATAGCTATAGAAAATGCTACACGGATGAGAGAAACGAATCTGGGTCCCGCCAATAATGGGGCGAAGCGGCCACTTGCCTATTCGGCAGAGGCGAGGAAATCCGCTTGGTTTGGATGGTATTGGCGATACTCATCGCCACCACCGTCATTCACGAACACTCACGTCTTCGAAGATATGAAGATATATCATTATCAGTCAGGACGTCCGACCTCTTCCCGCACTGAACGGACAGCCGCTTGCTGTCTCCTTGAATCCCGCTTCGCTTGCACCGTTGTTCAAGTAGTCTCCAAACAACGCGCACACAGCCGTTCCTTCGCAAGTATGCCCAAGCTTGCAAACGTGTCCCAAATTTTCCGCTTCTACCACTTTCTCTCCTTTTTCTCGCGCACAAAGGCAGCTCGCAGCGCGCCTGAAGCGCACAGTCGTCTACCAAAAACGAGAGGACAAAGAACAGGACATGGCCTCGTCCCAGCCTAAGCCGACCATAGCGCGCCAGCTCCCAGCAATGCTAGTGTGACCATCTCTAGCCGACCTAGACGTGCGCGCTCCAAGAAAGACCAGCTTGACCACCACGGTTATGAGTTTGACCAGCTTCACCAGCTTGTCTCCCAGCTTGACCACATTGGCTCAATAGAAAATCATTTTGACCAGTTTGACCAGTTAGGACCAGACTGGCTCCCAGCTAAACCAGATTGAACCTAAAACCGGAAATGTTTAACAGGTTCCCATAAGCCACGAAAATCACTCATATGGCCATATCTCGAGCGGATAGCCGTACTTCTGGAAAATAAAGGAGCGAATGAGGGAGAATGTTGGGGTCACCTTATCGCAGAAGAGTTGAGAAGGAGGAGAACTGGCCTGGCTCCCTTTCCTGTCCGCGCAATCGCGGAGCCAAAGCGAAAAGAGGAAGAAATGAGAATCGCGAGGTCACGCGTCTTTTCAGCTTTGTGTGAGCGCGCTCTTTTACAAACATACGACGATCCGTTGGAGATACCGCTTCATTAGTGGCATTTTGGGAATTGTAGCGTCCGCCTATCGGTTCTGCGTTGTTTTCTGAAAGTCGATTTTCGGTTCAGCATCTCTTTAAGAGTCACGCATGAGCAGATGTGGCTGCCTATATTATATAGGGAACCACACATGCTTATGCGTGACACTTAAAGGGATGTAGGGAACCACACCTGCTCATGCGTGACTCTTAAAGAGATGCTGAACCGAAAATTGAATTTCAGAAAACAAAGCAGAATCGATAAGTTGGACGTTACAAATCCCAAAACGTCCGTCATAATGCGGGCTATATACCAGTCGCACCCTGCAATCTTTTTTGACTGTGATATTTTTTTACTTCGTACTTTAAAATAATTACGTTTAAGCCAAGAGAACGTGACGTATAATCCGAAGCTTTTCCTGCCCTCTTCCTATGCATTTCAAACCATTATTAGTCTTATATGTAGCATTCTACATAACCCTAAGTGGTTACTATGTTTTATAGGTACTTATAAATAGTACGCCTCTAGAACGTAGTTCAACGAAAAACACTCACGAGTGATATCTAACATAGCACCGAGTTTGCGTGCAGTCACTAAGCAAATCGATACCTCTGCAGGCCGTTACAAGTAGTCAGAATGAACCGGACCTGGCAAAATGCTATATTATTTCCATATCAGAAGAAATAGGATTCTTGTAAAAACAAAGGCAGTTGTCATCAGTTATCAATTAACCTTAAAAGTCGAAACCTCAAAGGACGAGATAACCGTGATATGAAAACTCTTTGAAGCAACAAGACGAAGAAGCCATTAAAAAAACCTGAGCTTTGAAAACCTTTATAGCAGACTATGACTACTGCTCCTGTTATTTTTTATAACTTTTTAATTGAGGCCAATATTGAAAAGCCTCTTCTCTAAAACCCAGTATTGGCAAAGAGCAGCTGCCACTACTCTCTACTGAGGCCGATAGCCTACCAAGCCAGGTATAATTCCTGGTAGGTGACCTATAGAGAATAAATACTTTAAACCGGGTGCTCGCAGAACCTATGTAAATTATGAATAGGGCGGGCTAATTTCTTGAACGTGTTAAACGCCAGCAGAGATTGCATGTAGAACAGCGTGGGAAATCGGCAAAGTGCGTACGGGATGGACATGGTTACAACCCAAACGCTTGTTGCGTATGTGTTTTACAGCGACAGCTGTTAGTAGAAACATCCTAGGGAATTGCGTAGTCATCCTTAAATAAAAATTTCTGGTGCCTTGAGCGGGCGCGCGTAGCCAGAGCACGCGTCGAAAAGCAACGAGTGAGCCCTAGAGGCCAGGCGTTTGATCAATAATCGCTTGCGGTCGATCTGAAAATACTGAACAGTGGCGTGCGCAACTTACACCAACAAGCTGCTACGTCTCTAACTGATGTAGTACTCACTTGCAAGAATCTGTATACAAATGATTGACCTGATGATAATGCAGTTAATGCAAAGTTGCAAGCGAGCTGGACAACAATGACGATAATAATCCCAGCGGAAGGGAAACAAGGGGGACAAAGGACTTGCCACTTTTGTGGTACGTTTTTTGCAGATTACTGTCCAGTATTTTCAAATAGACAATAAGAGGGCATAATCTTTGGAAGGGATCCATACTCCGTTCCCCCTAAGGCTGAGACTGCAGTCAAAGCTACAAGCTCAGGTTAAACTGTGCTCCTAGCACTGAGACGCGCATTTCTAGCGCGAGCACTCGCTTAGTAAAAAACTTTTCGAACCAGCGAACTCCGGCTTTCGTGCTTGTGCCATTCGCTGCAGTCTTAGCTTAAAGGAGCATTGACACCCCCAAAAACTTTTGTTTTCATTTGTGACAGCCGATTCAATATGGTGTCAGAAGACTAGTCAATTAATATTTTGCTACAGAGTCACGTACATTTTAATAAAGCCAAAAAACACAACTGCTCGAAAACCGAAACCGAAATGTGCGCACGAAGGTCGGAGAAGTACAGAGAAGGAGAGTGTGTCAGCAGTCACGTGGCTACACCCGACTGTGCGCTTTTTGCCGCGTGAGCCATACTGGCCGAGGTTAGGCAGTTTCGCATGGCTCGCATAATGAGCCTTGCTCCGTGCTGCGCATGCGCGAGGAGCAGTGACGTCACACGGCGCACGTTGGCGCGCCGGAGCCGCCGCCGCCGCGCGCTCCGCCTCCGACGCGCCCGCCTCGCCGGTCTGCGCCTTCCAGAGGAGTGACGTCATAGCCGCGGCAGACGCACTGGAGCCGCCGCGTGCCCAGCTGTGCGCCTCCGTTGGGCAGTAGCCAAGTCTGACGCTGCACCGGAGCCGCTTGATAGCGCCTCTCATTTTGTGCGCATAAGCTCACGCTACGTATACCCTGGCATAGCCGAGCTAAGCCACCGCAATTGTTTTTTCT